TTTCTACTATTGTTTGACGAGTGACAACTTCACTTTGCGAAATAACAACTTCGGAAGTGGAAGCGGCGAAGTTCATTTTTTTCCCTGTTTAAATGACATCCTTTCCACTTTTGTTTACCCAGTGACAACTTCACTTTGCGAAATAACAACTTCGGAAGTGGAATCGGCGAAGTTCATTTTTTTCCTATTTAAATGACAGTCTTTCCACTTTTGTTTACCCAGTGACAACTTCACTTTTAGAAATAACAACTTCGGAAGTGGAAGCGGCGAAGTTCATTTTTTTCCTGTTTAAATGACAGCCTTTCCACTTTTGTTTACCCAGTGACAACTTCACTTTTCGAAATAACAACTTCGGAAGTGGAATCGGCGAAGTTCATTTTTTTCCTCTTTAAATGACAGGCTTTCCACTTTTGTTTACCCAGTGACAACTTCACTTTGCGAAATAACAACTTCGGGAGTGGAAGCGGCGAAGTTCATTTTTTTCCTGTTTAAATGATAGCCTTTCCACTTTTGTTTACCCAGTGACAACTTCACTTTGCGAAATAACAACTTCGGAAGTGGAAGCGGCGAAGTTCATTTTTTTCCTGTTTAAATGACAGTCTTTCCACTTTTGTTTACCCAGTGACAACTTCACTTTGCGAAATAACAACTTCGGAAGTGGAAGCGGCGAAGTTCATTTTTTTCCTGTTTAAATGACAGTCTTTCCACTTTTGTTTACCCAGTGACAACTTCACTTTGCGAAATAACAAGTTTTGTTAACCAATTGGCAATATCAGTATGCCAAATAACCACAAAGCACAGGTGGTTTGACAGCAACCTCTATTTGCTGATATAACAAGTAAGCAGTCTGCATTTACAAATCAAGCAAGGGAGTTTACAGCAATACTAAGTCAAATAACCACAAAGCACATGTGGTTTGACAGCAACCTCTATTTGCTGATATAACAAGTAAGCAGTCTGCATTTACAATACAAGCAAGGGAGTTTACAGCAATACTAAGTCAAATAACCACAAAGCACATGTGGTTTGACAGCAACCTCTATTTACTGATATAACAAGTAAGCAGTCTGCATTTACAATACAAGCAAGGGAATTTACAGCAATACAATGTCATTTAGCAAAAAGTAAGAGGTCCGTTTACAACAACCAGATTTTGCAATAGTCAATAACAAAAAGACATTCACAACGTCGTTGACTTCTTTTTTCCTTGTCAGCAAACATATTACTTGCAAAAATAGCTGTGTAGCTATGCAACTAGCAACACCCTTCTCCCAAAAAAATTAAGAAGAGTGGAGCGTATATACACCAAAAAATTAGTTGTCGCTTGTAGAAATGAACTTCAAAATGGGTTGGGATTTTTGCAACTCCTCCTTGTGTGTCCAGGTTGGTGGCATCTGGTGCAATGGTAGACTTTTTTGTTCTGGAATTGTGATTCCTGCCGTTTAGTCCTTGGTCTTCCAGGAGGCCTACTTGTATTTGGTGGTAAAAGCAAGGTTTGTTCAACAAGATTCTCAAACCTATAGTCATTTGGGTTAGGCATATCGATTGTTACCACTGGAACCATGCTCCTGCCATATATTTTCTCCTGTGCTGAAATTTTGTAACAATCTTCAACATATTCATATACATTTCCCCCCACAGTCTTAATGGCTGCACAAGCATGGCAGCATGGAATTCCTGACATTTGCCAACCAAGACAACTACATTGGTGTAGACCAAGGTCTACTCTTTGATCTCCACGAGATGTATGTACACACAGTCTTCCGCCTCCATAATTGTCACAACTCATATACCTACTGAAATACACATTCTCCAGAACCTTTGCCTCGGTTTTTGGCCCAACACAATTCCTCCACTTACTCATACACATATATGATGCATGCATCTTCCTTGCTACTTTCTCCCGATGCTCATGGATCATTTGCGCCACATTATGCTTTCTCTCCTTCACCATCCAAGAATTGAAAGACTCAGCTATATTGGTTGTTATATTGTCCCATCTTTTAAATGGAAACTTGCTCATTGCCCACCTATTCACATCACCTTGATTGATAACCCAATCATGTAACTCAGGAGACATAGTTCTCAGCTCTGCCATTGCATTATCAAAGTCACTATCAACCCTTGCATAAGCAACTCTATCAAGAACCTTTAATGCATCTTCTTTTGACCATTGGCTTGTCCTTTTACCTCTGTTTACTTTACTTGTTCAGCGCTGAAGTTTTCCTTCACATGCCTATAACAATACGCATGTCTTTCACCTCCAAATATTGCTTGGACAGCTCCTATTATGGCATTGTGTCGGTCTGACACAATTGTCACCTGCACCGAACCAACAATTTCTTTGATTTTGAACAGAAACCAAGTCCAATCATCAAGGTTCTCTGATTTCACCACTGCTATTGCAAAAGGCAACAAGTCATTATCTGCATCATATCCCGACGCTGAGAGTAGTGTCCCCTTATATGGACCACTTAAATGAGTTCCATCAACATATAATATAGCCCTTGCACCACTCAAAAAACCCTCAATACATGAACCATATGCAATGAAAACCCGCTCAAATGTATTACCAATGGAAGCCCATTCAGCAACTGTTTTATCATCAGTTTCCTTTAATCTTTGGCATATCCATGGTATGAACATATAGGATTCTTCCGGTTTCCCATGTATGTGTTCCATGGCCTTTTCCTTTGCTCTGTAAGCTTGAGCATATGTTAGCCTCACACCATATTCCCTTTCCAGTGTCTTCCTTATTTCAGTAGGACGCTTTTCGGTGTGGTTCCTTATCTCCTCAAGTATTATTGATGACGTCAACGCAGCATTGCCAGCAAAAGTGACATCTAGGTTATCTTGCGCTGAATGAATGTGTTCATTAACGAATGTGGTCACGCGTAATAAAAGAGTATCCCTCCCAACAGCATTTGCACAAATCTTCCATGGACACCCTTCCACTTTACACCTCACATTCATCTTCTCCCTACTGTTTCTCACATATGTCGTTGCAAACTTCTGTGCAATACTAAACCTGTACACAGCCTCCCTAAAAGCTTGGGCATGTGGAATATATTGCCCCACCCCTGCAAAAACTCCAACCCATTTCATGCAATTCAAATTACCCCTCAATGTCCCTTCACTCCCTGAACCGTCACTGAAGTTTGTCTGACTTAAACCCCCTCCTTCATACGTTAGGCATTCAGCACCATAGTCAACAATGAGTGGTTCATAGTTATCACCAAGGTTCACCACACCTTCAGTCATTTCTCCCGACAGCCCAAACAAATTCTCACCCCTACACCCATAATAACAACGTTCGAATAGAAATTAGCAACAACACATTAGCAAATAACAACATTCTACTGTAACAAAGTTAGCATAATAACAAGATTTGTATGGGAAATATCAACAATGCATTATAAAATAACAACTTACTACTGTAACAAACTAAGCAATATAACAACATTTGAATGGAAATTAGTAACAACTCATTACCAAATTACAACTTCCAATCGCAACTTCATTACCTTAATTACAAGATTTATATCAAAATTAACAACAATTCATTACCAAATAACAACTTTCTACTGCTGCGCAGTGCACATGATAACAACATTTCTTTGGGTATTAACAATAATCCATTACCGAACAATAACTATCAACTGCAAAACTTTAACCACTTACATTTCTCCATCATTCACTGCTCCACCTTCCTTCTGGTTCCCTTTCGCTGCTACATACAAATGAGCACTGCTATCGTTATATCTAAACATATTGCAAATATCACCTTCATCATAAAGATCAACCAGTGTGCCCTCAGCAAACTTAACCGTGTACTTAATTTCGCACCCTTTAGCATCATTGTGTACCAACTGTGATATTGTTCCTCTTAATTCCTCCAGTGTTATCCCTTCTTTTATGCTGCTTGCTCTCACACCCTCCCTCCCCGTATTTAACTTCACCTTCACTGTTTCTTTCAAAATACCCACCAACATGGAAAAAACAAAACAATTCCTTCCAACAGCTTGACCCATTGTAACAGTTCATTTTGTCATCCTAACCTGGAACAACAATTTACATATAAAAAAATATATTAGCTTCACTATACTTTTATTCAATCAAATTTGCATTTACAAATCAAGACCAACTAACTCTTCTCTTCCCCACTTGACATTAGGGTTTTACAAGTTGGACATTCTAAATGACAAGATCTTTACTCCTCTCCCCCCACTGCACCACCGTTAACTTCATACTCAAACTACTAATTATTACCTCCTTCCATTTCCCCTCCTCCACTCTCCCATTCGTGATATTCCTAACAGAGATCAGTGGCAACCTGCGTCATGAAAATCACAGGTCAACAATCTGACTACAAAGACTAATATTTTGAATCTCAACCCAACCGAACCCTCCTTAAACAGTATTATTCCATGATCAACTCCACCGCTCACTCCCTCCATACCTATCACCCAACAATCCACAATGCCACTCACCACATTCAAGAACAACATCACATTCCTCGGTCTTACAGGGTAGAGAAGAAGAAGAGTATACTTAGAAACATTACAAGCATTACTTACTTGATTCTCAACCATGTGCACCACCAATCTTCTCCTCCAAGCTCTCCACGATCACTTTGTTTGTCTCAGCCTTCATTAATGAATCAGATTGACTGAGGGGCAATTTCGTCTTTTCACCAACATTTGCTATTTGCCATTTGAGACCGGGTCCCTCATGATAATTTAGCAAATTCAGGTGACCATTGAGTGATTTTACTAATTCGAGGGTCTTTATTTGTGATTTCCCCAAAAATATATTTTTTATTGGGGAAAAAATCACAAGTAAGGGTAATTGTGCGCAACAATTTTCTTTTCAATGAAAAACATTTTTCCTGGAAACAAGAATCAACTCATCAAGCGAAACCCTGGCTTATTATGTGTGGGGTTCCTTATTTAGAGCCAATTGATATAAAATCACATTAAATAGGGTGCGTGATTAACTCAAATTCCCGAGGGGAAAAAAAAAGGAAAAAGAAAGAAAGAGAGTGACAGAAAAGAAAAACAGAGCAGCCATATTTATGACTGGACAATCAACACACTGATTAATCAATCAGAAAGCAGAAAGGAAGAAAGAAAGGAAGAAAGAAATGGCAACAAGCATCAAGAATTCTCTCATACTACTCACCTTCTTGGCCTTCATCATCATCCAAGGTATGGCCTTCGATATTTTTTTCCCCTGAATTTTCTCTCTGTTTCTGGGTAACCAAACAGGGGAAACTCGCAGGTTTCTGCGACTGTTCGCTGAACAACATAAACATAGGAACAGTGAGAAGTGGGAGGGAAATAAAAGGGAAGCCAGAGTGGGAAGTGACAGTGATAAACAACTGTTCTTGTTCACAGAGCAAGATTCAATTATCTTGTAAGGGATTTCAGAGTTCAGAATCTGTGGATCCTTCGGTTTTTGCAAAGCAAGGAGATAGCTGTCTGCTCATTAATGGCGGCCCCTTGAAAGCTTTCTCTTCTGTCAATTTCTCTTATGCTTGGGACCCTCCTTTTCTGCTTCTCCCTTCCAGCTCTCTTGTAGGTCATGATTGTTCTTGAGAACTTTTTCACTGATTTGCTTTCCCGGAAAGTAGTACATAAGATTGGTGCGTGATGATTCATTCTGAATGAATAATACACATGACTTTGATTTTCATTCCAAGTTTGGCCAATAAATTGATCTTTTTCCCCTGTTGGGTTTTGTTCTTCGTTGTTTATGCGCACATGCTCTTCCGATATGCCTTATTGATTGCCCTGTGTTTCTGGGATGAGATATTCATAATCTGATATTAATATTTTTCTTTAAAAAATTATCACTCGTGTTAAGTAGTTAAAAAATGAAGTCATAAAATCATTTTAATGGTTGGCATAGACTAACGTTGACTAGTTGAGCAACTATTGAACAGAGATTCAAGATTGGAATGGGAATCAAATGGATGTGTTTTATATTATCATTCAGTATTTATCACTGTGATATGATGAAATTTGGGCCATTCAAATTTTGATCTAAACTGTCTCAGTTTGAAATTTTTAATTAGTAATTTTTTCAATGGTAGATTATTTCTTTAAGAAGTGTACTATGCTTATGTTGAATTATGTATATATTAAAATAAAAAAATCTTTAAATATAGAAAATTTAAAATAAATTTGAATCATTTAAAGTCAATTTAAATATTTCAAATTATGATGAGCACTCAATGCTCATCTATGGGATAATATGTGCTGCCATGTGTTTTTATGAAAAAAATGTTGAAAATCAAAAAATTAAAAGCCGATCAAATTTTAGCCCAAAATATTTTTAGACCATTTGTAGCCCTGTGATTTCATTAAAAATTTCATCTACCGTGACATTATTATGTTAAAAATTGGAATTATTAGAAATTTATATATATTATCGTATAAGTAGTTGGCAAAAAATATATCTAAATAATTATTTTTATTAAATTATTATGTCACTAATTTTAAATCAATTTAACCAGTTGAATAATGAAAAAGAAATTTTTCTGACTTATTGACCTTTTCAAGTTGATATCATCCGTACACCTTGATTTCACAAATATATTTTGAATTTGTTAGGGCAAATATTGTGCATGTGTTTGATCCTTTCACTTTAAAAATTATATTACCTCCGATCCTAATTATAAGACCTCATTTGTAATCTACAAATAGAGTCTTATAATTAGGACCAGAGGTAGTTTTTTTTTTTTATTAGTCTTAAATAATGATTATTTTTGTAACAATCATGAAAATTTTGAAAATTAAACTTAATATATTAAGATCTCAATATCATCACTTTTTTTGGTAACAGTTAGAGTTAAAAGACTAAAGACATATTGTATAAAAATAGAAGACTAAAAATATATTTTAGCCAACTTGTTATTATATATATGACTGCGAATTATTCCATTAAATTTTTGAAAGTACGAGTGACAGTTAATATAAATTATGGATTCTGAGTTCTTGGTCCAAAACAATATTATTGATATATTTTCAAATTTTAGACAACTATTAAGTAGGTCACTTTATAAAGTAAAATAAAATAAAAATTGATCATATAGATATGTAACCCTCAAATTATTATATGTATCCGGACCCTTCTTTTGCAGTATCCTGGCTTGATGTGGTTTGTTGTGGATCTTCGTGTTCCTAATGATGATTTGGATGAAGGAGAAACGAGTAGGATTCCCAATCCAGTCTGTGATCCAACAACTATCCCTAGAATCATCAGGATCATCAGTTTCCGGTTGAAGAACATTGGAGGAGAGAATTGCAGCATCACTCACCAAAAGTAGTTAAAAGTGAATGATCGAGAAATTGAGAACAACTGGAAAGAAGAAGAATGGTGTGCCATTTATTTGCTGGGAGAAATTTGAAGATATTGAAGATGTTTCTGCGATTCCATACCACCATGCTTATCACAAGGTTCGACTTTGTCAAAGGTTTGGTGGTGGTGGTTTTAGGTTATCTTATCTTGCTAACCACTCTACTTATGTTTTGTGTTCTGTTTGTTTGTTTCTTTGTTGTGTTTAATGAAGTTCTGTTAGTGGGTCCTTGATGTTTGTTTCTTTCATATTAAACCGATGCACAAAATGTAACCGTGCATGAGAGAAAAACCAAGAAAAGAATCAAATTGATGATAAAGATAGGCTTCATGCTTGCTTGCCATGTGATGTAACCAAGCTGAGTTCTGTGGGGGAACTGCACAGAAAAAAGATAACCTTTTTCACCAAAGAAAGCCACCTGTTTTGGCTTGGTTTGCAGAACTAATCTAACTGTACAAGTTGAAAAATGAAAAGTAAAGAAAATATGTAGCATTGTATCAGATAAATAATATTTCTCCGATTCTTAATATAAGACCTATTTAATTAATTTGATTATATTAAGGAAGTTAGATAAATTAATTAATTATATGAAATATGACATGTTTTTTCTAAAATACTATAATCATATTTTTTTAATATCCCCCTCCCCTACTTACTTGATTATAGTTGAGAGAGTATCTATAAGGATAATTTAAAAAAATGATAAATATGAAAAATAAATCTTACATTCAGAATCAAAATTAATTTAATAATTAGATTCTATATTAAATACCAGAAGAATACTAACAAAAAAAAAAGGTAAGAAAACCCAGTATAGTTCTTCTGCCTGGTTATGACATATATCCTTAAACCCAATAGAACTCGGAGAACCCAATACTTTTTTTTCTATATGATCATTGAAATACTTATTTATATTGCCAGATTATATATTACTTTATAAATTATACAATTTAGTTGAAAAAAATGACAAATATATATTTTAAAATAATTTATTTAGCTTCCTCAATATCTCCCAATTAATCAAATAAATCTTATATTAAAAGTCGTTTGGAAATTGTACAAAGTTTTGTGAATAGGAAAGATGGGTCAGTTACATTAAAGGTTCAACCACTTACCCCAATAACGAAGATCTGAAAATCATTTAAGAAAGTTTATTCAAAACTACTGAATATGAATCACTCGAAGTCTACACTGAATCATGGTTTTAAAAGATAAATAAATCAAGCTGATGTCTTTAAATTAAAAAATCAACGATAATTACACGACTTTCTTTTAGAATATATATGTATATGAGGAAGGGACAAGAGGAAAGGGAAGCAAGTGGCCAACATGATTAGACATCTAACCCCCATTTTTTTGTCATTTATCCCATCAAATTTACATGGGCACTTCCACTTTCATACAAGTCATTATTCATTTATTTATTACTATATTTACTCCTTTAATTTTGAAGAAGATATATTTGGTCTTTTAGCCTGAAAATTGTTAGGCTTAAATGATATTTTTTTTATATAAATCATTATTGTTTTGAAAAATAAACTTAATGTGCTAGCATTTGAGCATGTTTTATCAACATTTAAGATTTCAGTGTCATCATTTTTTATTGATAGGTTTAAGATCAAAGGTAAAAGTATACTTTTTTAAAGTTAAGAGACCAAATTAAAAATTTTTACAAAGTTAAAGGACTAAATGTAGACTTTAACTTTTATTTATTCAAATGTTGATTAAAAAAAATCTACAATAATTGTGGAGCGGAAAAGGCAATTGGCGAAAAAGGAGGAAAAATGAAAATGTATATTTAAATTAGTTTTAATTAAGGTTAGATAGAGAGGAATTTATGGGATGGATCCCACCCCCACAAAATTATTGAACCGAAGAAAGAACAATTTCTGACATTTGTTCAATCGTATATATGATATATCCGAATGCGGTGCCTTATCTGTTATTTAAATAATGAGACTTTAGATCTTTTAAAGAATTTAATTTTAATATGCAAGTGAGGTAGGGCCCCTTTTGTTCAAAGGAAAATATCATTTAATTTGTATTAATAAACTTTGATAGCCAGTGGACATAAAATTCATGATGCACGGCAAATAATATACATGGTTCCAAATTAGATTAAACTTTGATAACAGTACTGGAATAAGATAGGGGGAAACTATGGTATTGGAATGGTATATTTGAAAGCCATAAAAATATTTTTTTTAAAGTATCCCTTATAAAAAAAAAATTAAATTACCTGTCTTGCCCTCTATCCTCTCCTAGAATTCACCCCATAAGACAGAATTGAAATGAAACTAAAAAGAGGCGTTTTGAATGCCCAGAAAACACGTCTAAAAATTGTTTTTATGTAAATTGGGATAAAAATCCTCTCATATACTTATTTTATATATCGTAAAATCATTTTTAAAACGATGGCCTAAGCTTTAGTAGCCTGTGAACTCTTGCAATAAGATGCAGGATAAGAAAAATAACAGAAAAATACTTGTTAAATTTCAAAAAGACAAATATGTCATGTTGACTATTCTTGTAATGATTTTAGCTACTCTTATCATTATTTTGATAGGTCAAAAATTGTCAAACTAACCTATTTATCATTTTGAAATTCAATAAGTATTTTTCTGTCATTCTCCATATATTACGTACAGTATATACAATTATTATGTATGTGTTTAAGAAAGCCAAAACAAGAATCTGATTTTAAAAAAAATAAAGCCAAAGCAAGAAGATGTTAATGAAGACAATGAATGGTTGAGATAATTAATTAATTATTGATTATTGATTGGTTGACGGCGTCCATGTTTCTGCAAATCTGTTGGCTGTTCAATTGAAAAAGAATATAATATGGTTATGTGCCACAATGGAGATCTCTTCTCTCACATGCCACTTAGGAAACATGTAAATCTGTTGGCTCTTTTACTTATTTATATATATTCCCATTTATTTTCTCTTATTCTGTTCATACACACACACACACACTCATTCATGCACGTAACCTTGTTCTTTTGTTCTTCATCTCTGTCAATACAAGCGGCATCAGACAAAATTTGTGCTTCCACCACCTAATTAAACAAAATAAATAAAAGTGAAACATTTTAATATAAGTAACAATATAATCATTCAAGCTCTATCTGTCATCATAGTCAATGATCTCTAGCATGTAGCTAATTTCTATCTTCATGGAAAGAAGAGTATATATATACATGTGTGTGTGCTTGCAGTTTAAATATAGCAAACACAAAATCATCATGAGTTAGAAAACTAGGAGTCAAAAGTTGTATTTTGAAACTACTTCTGATTTTGATTCTTAATATAAAATCTACTTAATAAAAATGTAACTCAATCTTCCTAAATTATCACTATATAACATTGGTTATATGTCAATTTATATTAAATAAATTAGTTTGGGGAAATAAAAATGATAAATATTAAAAACAAAATGAATTGGCTATTTATATTTAGGATGAAATGTAACTCCCAATTGCCTCTTATATTAGGGATCGGAAGGAGTATGTTCTTCTTGTTTTGTTTCTCTTTTTCCTAGCATGAACATGACAATGTTCTAATTAATTTAATTTTTTCCAACTTGGGCATCTAGCACGCACACAGACATCACACACTCTCTTACCAAATTTCCTAATCATCGGTATAGTTCAGAGTTACAACAAATGTGGAGTCATTGATATTATTGTTAATAAGACCAACCAAAGCAAGGTTTATAGTAAAGTTTATCTTAATGTTGTACTCAAGCTACTGACCGCCACGTTGTGCACGACTGTGTTTCTTTTAATAAATACCATGTTCTTGTCCTTTTGTGCTAAACCACTGACTCTATATAACTTCCCAAACTCTATTCTTCCCCCATGGTACCTCGCAAACTGTGATCCCTTTCTCTTCTCCTCCTCCTTGTCCTTCTTATTGTCTTTCTTCTTCTGCGATTAGTTGAGGATATGATGATGAAGTTGAAGACCAAACTGTTGAGAAGAGAACTTGGTGCATTATTGAGAAAGAAGGTAAGTATTGGTAGAGTTGTGAAATGGGTTAGGTTTTGCTGTTGCTTTGATGAAGAGGGAAACATACCAAAAGATGTTCCAAGAGGTCACGTAGCTGTGTATGTGGGAGAAGATTGCAAGAGATATGTGATTAGGGTTTCTGTGGTGAACCATCCACTGTTCAAGACATTGCTTGATCATGCCGAGGATGTTTTTGGATTCAGCAATGCCTCTAAACTCCATATTCCTTGCAGTGAGAGGATTTTTCTAAACATCCTTCATAATGCTGCTCTTCTTCAACCTTAAAAGTTCTTCTTTTGATTATTCAGTAGTATCAGATATCCGATGATTGTACTGAAAGCAAAAGATCTTCAATTAAGTTTCTTTCATGCGTTAGAGTTCATGATTAACTATTGGAATCATATTGTTTCAATGATTTGTATTGCATATTATCGCTGGAAACTCCAAAACTTTAAGCCTGCCGGCATAAAGGCCATGTTTGGTGATATCATAGAATATATAAATATATATATATATATATATATAAGAGCATATTTTCTTGGTTTGTAAAAGAATACAAAAAGATATACGAAATGTTTACTATACTCGTGATATTATTACTAAAAGTAAAGGGAAAAGAGACAAGAGGGAAACAAGACAAATGTACGTAGTACTATATGGTGGAGAAATAGGATTCTCAAATCACAAGAAGTAATTTATTAGAGTACAAATAAATGTTGGGTGATCATGTGAAGAAAGACATTGAATAAGTGTAATAAAACAGAACAAGTTATTGATTTTGCTGCATGTTTGGGAACATTCACCAACTTCGGGTAAGATAGAACCAAAAGGAAAGGAATATGCAAACTCAGTCACATTAAATTAACGTACACAAGTACATTAAGATGCCACGTACGAACATTTTATTATTACTTATTATCATCCAAGACAGCTTAATAATGGTTGTTACTCCAAAGTTAATATATGTGGGTAAGATTTTGTTCTTTTTCCCACGTTGGTGTTTGTCTGTACACAATTACACGTGTACATGTGTGTAGGTCTTCTGATTTTCTTGTCGGATATTGATGAAGGGATATTTGGTAGCTTATGAGATAACTATAATTTTAGGTTCATAATTGATTTTGGGAGAATTACAATGAGATCCTGTAAGAAACGAAAATAATTGCTAGTGAGGCCTAATGACAAGTGATTATATTGCAGGTTGCTCTGTTGTCATTTTCAACTTTAAAATTTGTCATTGCAAGTTGTTCTGTTGTCATTAGGATTTTTTAGTAATTATGTTCTTTACTTGGTACTTCATTACAATTCTCCCATTGATTTTGATGTACGCATGGATGTTTGGATGAAAGAAAACCTTAACGCTATGTTTGGTACGGGATTTTTGGAGGGGAGGGGAGGAGAGTTGCTCCCCTCCCCTTGTTTGGCTGGTGTAATTTTTTAGGAGGGGAGGGAAGCCCCTCCCCTTCCCTTGTTTGGTTAAGATGTTTTTTAAATAGGGGAGGGATTCTTCTCCCCTCCTCTTCCCTTCTAGCCTCCCCTCCAAAAGTGAGGTTTTTTGGAGGGGAGATGAGAGATAATATTTTAATTCCTTATATACCCTTTTGATTTGTTAACCTCTAATCAGTCGTAAACATTTCTACATAAGAGAGTTTTTTTGAGCATTTAACAAGAGGTTATTAAGATAATTGTCTCCAAAATTAGTGAGCATTTGTAAACTTTTTTTTTTTCTCTTCTTCTAATTCCAAGAGATTGTTGGTATTTTCTTTCACCTTCAAGGTCTTTTCTCTGATTGAAATCTATCACTCGTGACTTTTTATCTTGATATTTTATAAGTGTGTGACTATGTCTTGTAAATCAAAATTGGTGAATTGTATTATATATATATATAGTTATATCTTAACAAAATAAAAAAGTGAGAAAATTCATTTAAATTTTATGAGGTTAAAATAGTCAATTTTTTATTAGAACAAAATAAGGTATTATTAAAATTGCTCCCTCCCCTCCCTCCAATCAATCCAAATAGGAGATCATTAAAATCCCTCCCCTCCCCTTTGTAGCTACCCTCCCCTTTCCTCCCCTCCCCTTCCCTTAATTAAAATCCCTCCCCTCCCTTCCCTCCATCGAGCCAAACACAGCGTAAGGGTTTAATACCATTTTTAATCTATAAAATTTAATCTCATTTTGATTTTAGTGGTTTTGATTATTGAAATCTTGTTTTAGGAATTAAAAACAAAAACACATTGTTTTGAGGATTAGAAATCTTTAGACAGACTAAAATAAAGTCAAATTTCAAAGATGAAAATCACTAGTTTAAAATTTTAGGAATCAAAACTAAAACGAGATTAACTTTCAAAGACTAATGATCGTATTAATCCAAATCTTAATTTTAGATGTTATATAAGGGTCTATATTTTACTATTCATTTCTCCCTCATTTTAGTTTGCCGGCTGATATCTTATAACCTAATTAGATATTTTGTGTACGATCCACACACACATATTATTTTTATAATAAGTGTGTGGCAATGTTAATATTAAGCCAAAACAATAATCACTAAAAGATTAATTTAAAAAAATTAATACTAAACTGTTCTTTCCAGGATCATTATAAGTTATTAAATCCGTTTTATATATGGCAACAAAAATGAGGATTTGACTCTTTACATATGTATGATTGATGCTCATATTCTTAAAGGAATATGCTGTAAAGTGAAAATTATAAATTTGAGGTTGTCCAGCAAAACAATGTGCAGTTATTCAATGCGATACATAAATCATAGTTACATTTTATAGCCTTTGGAACGTGGGACGAACTTGAAACGACACTGCCATCGAAGAGTTCGAGCATAACTTGTAATCTGTGATATCAGCAATTCAATACTTTGATCGGGAAGCATTCTGGATAAATTCTTAGATGGGAAAAAAAAAACCTTCAAAACACACGAAAATAACATATTTCACAGTAGTGTCGTGATTTTAAGTCCTTCTCGTTGCTGCAGTTGATTCCAAGAAATACAAAAAGTATGAAAATAGCAGGAAGAATTCTCGCACTCTTGAATCTATGATATGAAAGGAAACGCAAATACAAAGCACTCCAAGAACTGTGGCTTTGGATATCAAAACCTGCATGAAAGACAAATAGTAATGAATTGGTGCTGTTTTCAATTTAGGGCGTTATTTTCTTTGAAAAACCGTAAAAAATCAAAAACAGCACAATTTTTGGCCCATAAAATATCAAAGTGTTACTCATAGTGAAAAAAAAGGAGGAAAAAATTGGGAATAGAGGCAAATTGAGGGGCATTAGAAATGGAGTAACTAACGCCTCAAATCCAAATTATTGGCACGGTTAGACCATCAGCTGGCGCAAATGTAATGACGCACCCAACTTGCTTCGTCGTCGAATTTAGGGGTGATAATAGGAGCCAGCTTACAGGTTAGAGTTAGACAATCCGAGTTAAAAAGAACTATGTGATAGCAAGCTAGCTTTTAGCCAATTATAACCTGTCATGGTAGATTGATGAGTTGACCTACCAACCCGCTAACTATTATTTACTTTTTTGAAAAAAAATTATAGTATTTTTATATAATATAAACAAAATATTTTTAAAAAATTATTTTTTCTTCAAATGCTTGAGTGAAAACACCAAATAAATCATTGAAATATTTTTTTTAATTTTTTAGATAGGATATAAAATGTAATAATATAATTATAAGGATTAATAAAAATTTAAAAAATAAATGTAGGTTAGCCGTGGGTTGGCAGCAAGGTTGTCAAACTCACGACTTTAAGCAAACTCGTGATAATGATATAAACTCGGACTGTAAACTCGAATCATGAACTCGTACGAGTTTGCTTTTATTAATAAATTGGTATTAAAAGTATATAATCAAACAATTAATATATAAAAAATGAGAACAATTTTGTTTATATATATTTTTAATTTAAATAATTGAAATTATATCCATCAATGTTCATAATTTATCACATTCAACAAAAAAATTTCTATAAAATTCATATATAAAGTCACTAAACATAATCAAATTTAAAAATTTAGCATGAGTTTAAAAATAAGCTGACATGATTTCGTAAGCTAAAAACGTAAAAATAGTAGACTCGGTAAATGAACTCGTAAGTTTAACTAAGTTTACAATTATCACAAGTTTAAGAGCTAATCAACATGATTTTGTTAGTTAGAAACGTAAAAACGTTAAACTCAGAGAGTCAACTCACGAGTTTGACAATATTGGTTGGCGGAGTAACTCGCAGTGGATTGTTGGTCTTACGGTGCAAGTTAAAAAATATCGTTTGCTGACGGATTGGCTCAACCCCATTCTTTTTGGCAAATTGGCAGGTTGGATCCTTGCTAGCTGTAATCGGATTGAAGCAGCCTGAGAAGGATGATTGGCGTGTTTGTAAATTTCTCAACGAATGATGTTCTCATATTTTATCACATTAGGGCACTGCTTTGTGAGAATGTCATTGGACGAAGAACAGCCCAACACAGGGTTCATATATTGTCTTATTCAATTTTTATGCATGTAATTCTTTTCGTTGGATTCCAATGATCAAATGGGCCGTCGAATGACCAGCACATAATTATTGATGGATTGGGTTTTAATGCCAGGCCCAAACCGTGAAGCCCATTAGAACCAAAAGGGAAGGAATATGCAAACTGAGTCACAAATTGTTGGCTGAAAATTCAAAAATCATTTGTAATAATTTTCTTAATTTGGTCCAACGATTATTCAGTTTGACTACTTATAAATGAAATTATAGTTAATAAAGTTGTTGTGTTAATTCATCATCACTAAAGTTAATAATCAGTGACACGCTATGTTATGGTGACTACATAATAGATTATCCAAATAATTTTTTATATTATTACATTTGTCAATTATTAATTACAATCAGAATAAATTTATTCATGTTATTGAAAATGATTTTCTTTGTGAGAATCCAAAAACAATAAAATATAAATTAATATCAAATGATCAAAGTGAGAAAAACGAAGATAACTTGTATGAGAAACTAAATTGATAGGATGAAGAACTAAATTTTCAGAAAATCATTTTCATAACAAGAAATTGAAATAAAGATGTAAAAAAATCAAAGGCAATCATTTTAGGAAATAAAATTTTTTAGAGAAGATTTAATGTATTTTATCGAGGGGCAAATAAACCTTTTTCACAAGAATTGCAAATCACACCTAGGTCCCTTGAGATATCTGAGTAATAAATAAAATTCGGAAACTTGTATGTATCTAATTTTTTACTTGAAACTCGTGG